GTGGGAGGGGGTGAGGACCCCCTCACCCGGCAGTTTGTGCATGGGGGTGCCGGCCCGGGGGCGAGCAGGGCGTGTGGGATGGGGCGCTGGCCGGTCTGGGGGGAGCAGCTCCCCGAGGATGCACAAGGCGCAGGGCTGGGCTCAAACTTGCCCAACTTCAGTCGCTTTTCTGGAAAAAGCTCATAAGCCACCAGGCAGCGTTAAGTACGAGTCCTCCACCAGGCTGCAAAGTGCATGTTTCTCGCAGTTACTGAGGAGCTCCACAAAGTTAAAAGAATGAAAACAGGGGAGGCATCTCGGACCCTCAAGAGCTGCGATTTCTCCGAAATCTCCTGGCTTTCAGACCGGACCCTGGGTCCTGGCTGTGGGAACGGGCAGCGCTGGGCAGGCCAGGCCAGCGTTGCGCACCCGAGGGCAGCGGGAGCGAGGTGGGGGCAGACGAGCCCCGGGATGCTGCCATGCAGGGCGGCTGTGACGCAGGTGCGGAGGGACCCTGGGAGCAGCCCAGGGTGCAGGATGGGAGTGCAAAGCTCCAGGTCCTGGTGACTGCTGTGACTCTGGGCAAGGAAAACCTGTTTGCAGAGCAAGGGAGGGTGGTGAGCAGGAAAGAGCATCCATTGCGCGCCTCTGCCTTTACCCAGCCCCTTCCTCGCCTGCCAGGCCGGCACACGGAGGGAGACCCACGGTGCGGTGGAGGTGGCAAGGGGGCTGTGGGGACAGCAGGTACTCAGGCCTGCCCCTGCGTCATCCTCCCAGCTCTGCAGGGTTGCCTAAGCTATAGAAACAGAAGTTTAGAGCAATGTCACTTGGAGCTATGTAAGTTTAACAATGTCTTCTATTTTCATGCGTCCCACTGCTCAAACCCTCTCCCAGCCTCCTTTAATGCTCCAGACGCTGACACACAGCAGTGGGGCTCTCCCCCAGCCAGCACTATACAGGTCAGAAGCTCTACCAGTAGGGTCATCGCTCTGCCCATCAGTAACAGACCTGAACAACCAGAGAAAACAGCTTAGCATCACATCCAGGCTGCACACCACTGCTTTTGGAGACACTCACACTGCTTACACCCACTCTAAAGACACTCACGCTGCTTACACCCGTTCTAAAGATACTTGTGGCAGCAGTTCAGATGTTTGCTGCCACCTCTCTCCCTGATAAAGTTATAGAGGATAGCAAGCCAGCTTTGCGTATGCAAATCCTTTACACGCCAAGGAAAGTTTAAACAGAATATGTCAGCATTAACCAGCAGCTCCAGTTATATTCAGCTGTAGCTACCAGCATCACTTCCAAAATGCAGGGTGGGAGGTGTGTGTGGAGGGGAAATGACAAACTGTAATATCAGCATTACAAATCACACACACACACACCCCTACCCCCCAAAAAAATTGCTGCTAAGGGGTTTTCTTGCCCCATTCATATCCACTGACAGTACCCCAATTGCAAGAGACCCATAAATGTCTCTGTGAGGGCTCACGAGCGTCCCGCACCCCTGCACGGCCGTGCTGAGGCACCCCAGGGCACTTACTGGCACAGCAGGCTTCCTGACGTTGTTTTAATCTACATTTCTTCGTTACTGCACATCCATATGAAAAGCCTGGGGGGCTGTTCTTCCCCGAGGGGAGGGTCAGACTGCAGCACTTCCGAGCTGGCAGAGGGGCATCTCTCATTTTCCGCATCTCAGAAGAGGCGCCTCGCCCTGTGAAGAGGATTTGGATTTTTGCTCACTATTAAAGTTGTCCCCAAGCTTTAGATAAGAAAAGCATTGCTTTAATGAGCTGCAGTTCTTGCCCTTCAAACCCGAGCAACAAAGTGCCTGTGTTCCTTACAGTCTTTCTACTTTTTCTGGGCTAACACCAAGAGACGCGGGTCTGTATTTTGACTTTGTGGTTCCCTTGGGAGTTACAAACACTCTGCAAGGAAAGCTCACCTGACTGTCACTGGGAGTTTTATTTAAGCAGGTTCCTCCAGTGACAGACACCCTCTTCCCACTTTCACGGAACCATCTTTTCTCTCCCACAACTGAAATTTCTTAAGTAAAGTCAATTGTGTCCCTCTGCAGTGTCTGCCCTTGCTCACATACACTTTGTTGTGAGAACGCCGTGTTCTTGAGGTCCAGCACAGCATGGGGCTGGGGGGGCTGTGCGAGTCTCCGCCATTCGTATGGCTGCATGAAAACACCCAAGAAGGGCTGGAGACCGTAAGGTCTGGGGAGAGGGCACAGACAGGAAAGGTTGTGTGAAGACATCAGAGTACGGGCATGGACATTTATTGTTCCTCACACACCTTTCCTGCCATGGAACAAACAAAAAAGATATCTGGGAGAAAGCATAAACCCCGGGAAGCAAAGAGCCAACGTTGTCATTTCAAGCAGAAGCAGTGATGCTTTAGGAAGCCTGTGATGCTGGATAAGCCCTGAACTTTGGGCAAATACAGCTATTAGTCTTTAATCCTTAAGTCTTACAGGTGCACCAAACACCAAATCTCATAGAGAAACCAGGATTTTGCTGCAGGTCACACACACACGTATGTATACACGCAGACAGATGCGCTTAATTATTAATCAGCATTTATAACAGGCTTGCTTTGGCTGGACACGTTTAAAGACTCCCCAGCTTTCAGTGAGGGAGGTCAGGCACTCAGCATCTCTCACTCTTAGAGGGACACCGCCAGCCCCAGTCCTTGCCCACTGGGTTTTCCAAAGCCACTGCTATCAGTCTCATCTTTAGCTTGAAATACCGCTCCGGGAGATAGACCGAAGCCTTAATTCAGCCACTTCTGCTAACGGAAATGTATGTTCTCATACAGGCATCGTCTCGCTCATCTCCCTGGCTGTGCTCTCTTATGAACGGTACTGCACCATGACGGGAATGACGGAGGCTGATACCACAAACTACAGGAAGATATGGACAGGCATCGTCCTGTCCTGGACGTACTCCTTGGCCTGGACTGCACCCCCCCTTTTCGGCTGGAGCAGTTACGGGCCAGAAGGACCAGGGACAACGTGCTCCGTGAACTGGCATTCGAAGGACATTAACAACACGTCCTACATCATATGTCTTTTCATCTTTTGCCTTGTAATCCCTTTTGTCGTTATTGTTTATTCGTATGGGAAACTGCTGTGCGCAATAAGGCAGGTAAGCAGATTCCTCAACTACCTTTTTACTGTGACCCCAAACCCCTCAGAAACCACTGACTGCCATTTTCCACCTTTATAACTTCACTGCGGTCAGATGTGCTGCCACCCGTGGAAACTGGCTGTCCCGTGACTGCCTTTGTGACAGGCTCCCGTCTGCCAGAGCTTTCAAAGTCGCACTCAAGTGTGAGCAGCTGCAAGCCCCTGTGACAGATTCACAGGTGAGCGAAGTTTGCTGGACCACTCAGGATACTCCCAGTTACCCCTAATTAAAACTAGGAGGCACTTACCTACCTTGATGAGATTGGTCCTAGGGCTTAAATCTGCAGCAAGCCTATGGAGAGGTGAGCATCACCTGCAGGTGCAGAGGCTGCACGGTCAGTGGAGGGCATGGGAGCTGTGATTTCTGCACATCACTGCTTCTTCTCTGAAAGCATCAGAGTGAACCCTGCAAAAAAGGGTGCTAAAACCAAAAGTCATATATAATCCAGCTGCTGGCAGGATCCCGGCAAAACGAGAAGCTGGAGTTTAGCAAATGCAAACTGTAAGGCATGAAGCTTATCCCTTGCACAGAAAACAAAGCAATCCATAAATGATCATGAGCTATTAATCTAGTCTCAAGATAAGATATATTTGCTTTTAATAGCGCTAACCCACCCAATGCAGCGTTTGGTACGGAACACTGTCAGCGCAGCGCTGTCAGGCAGCTGGAAATGCTGACGTGCCATTTTTTTGTTGTCTGGCAAATAGCATCTGCATTTAGCCACGAGCCCGAGGGAGCGATGCCGCGGCGCTGCCTGCCCGTGGCACGGCCATGCCTCTCCTGGGAGAGGACCCACGAGCGCAGCCACCCCTCTGTCGGGGACCAGCCTGCGGGGAGGCGAGGAGCGGGCAGGCAGGGACCAGGCCGCTCAGGCCACCCGCTCTACCCTGGC